GTCCCTTTGCTGACTTGGTGCCCCCTTGCCTTGTCGGCTCCCCTTTCTAACTTGGCGACACTTTTGCCTAGTCGGCGCCCCTTTATATTTTGGCGCACCCTTGCCTTGTTGGCTCCCCTTTGCTAACTTGGTGCCCCCTTGACTAGTCGGCTCCCCTTTGCTAACTTGGCGCCCCTTGCCTAGTCAGCGCCCCTTTGCTGACTTGGCGACACTTTTGCCTAGTCAGCGCCCCATTGCTAGCTTGGCGCCCCCTTGCATAGTTGGCGCCCCTTTCTAGCTTGGCGTACCCTTGCCTAGTTGGCGCCCCTTTGCTAGCTTGGTGCCCCTTGCCTAGTTGGAGCCTCTTTATAGCTTGGCACCCCTCTTGCATTGTCAGTGCCCCTTTGCTAACCTGGTGCCCCTCTTGCATAGTCGGTGCCACTTGCCTAGTTGGAGCCCCTTTATAGTTTGGCGCCTTGTTGGCTCCCCTTTGCTAACTTGGCGCCCCCTTGCTAACTTGCCACCCCCTTGCCTATTTGGCGCCTTTTTGCTAACTTGGCGCCCCTTGCCTAGTCGGCGCCCCTTTGCTAACTTGTCGCCCATTGCCTAGTCGGCGCCCCTTTGCTAACTTGGCGCCCCCTTGCCTAGTCGGCGCCCCTTTGCTAACTTGGCGCCCCTTGCCTAGTCGGCGCCCTTTTGCTAACTTGGCGCCCCCTTGCCTAGTCGGCGCCCCTTTCTAACTTGGCGCCCCTTTTGCCTAGTTGGCTCCCCTTTGTTAACTTGGCGCCCCATTGACTAGTCTGCGCCTTTTTGCTAACTTGGCGCCCCTTGCCTAGTTGGCGCCCTTTTCTAACTGTGCGCCCCTTGCCTAGTCGGCGCCCCTTTGCTAACTTGCCGCCCTTTTTGCCTAGTGAGNGGCGCCCCTTGCCTAGTTGGCGCCCTTTTCTAACTGTGCGCCCCTTGCCTAGTCGGCGCCCCTTTGCTAACTTGCCGCCCTTTTTGCCTAGTGAGTTTGCCTAGACTAGTCGGCGACCCTTTGCTAACTTGGCGCCCCTTGCCTAGTGGCGCCCCTTTGCTAACTTGGCGCCCCTTGCCTAGTTGGCGCCCCTTTCTAGCTTGGCACCCCCTTGCATAGTTGGTGCCCCTTTCTAGCTTGGCACCCCCTTGCATAGTTGGCGCCCCTTCTAGCTTGGCGTACTCTTGCCTAGTTGGCGCCCCTTTGCTAACGTAGCGTCCCTTGCCTAGTTGGCGCCCCTTTGCTAGCTTGGTGCCCCTTGCCTAGTTGGAGCCTCTTTATAGCTTGGCGCCCCTCTTGCATAGTCAGCGCCCCTTTGCTAACCTGGCACCCCTCTTGCCTAGTCGGCGCCAAGTTAGCGTCCCTTTGCTAACTTGGTGCCCCCTTGCCTTGTCGGCTCCCCTTTTTAACTTGGCGACACTTTTGCCTAGTCGGCGCCCCTTTGCTTGCTTGGCGCCTCCTTGCCTAGTTGGCGCCCCTTTATAGTTTGGCGCCCCCTTGCCTTGTTGGCTCCCCTTTGCTAACTTGGCGCCCCCTTGACTAGTCGGCGCCCCTTTGCTAACTTGGCACCCCTTGCCTAGTTGGCGCCCTTTTCTAGCTTGGCGCCCCTCTTGCCTAGTCGGCGCCCCTTTGCTAACTTGGCACCCCTTGCCTAGTCCGCGCCCCTTTGTTAACTTGGTGCCCCCCTTTGCTATCTTGGTTCCCCCATTGCTAACTTGTATGGCCACACCAAGGCTGCAACTTTGAATCCAAATCTTGGAAAGTCACTTTCCTCACTGGTTATGTTTGCATGAACTACAAACATTTCTAAGTTTGACATTGACATGTATTTCTACCTATAATCAGTTGGAAGACGGATCGATGTTTTCTAAGGTTTTCTAAGAGAAAACACATTTAACTAGCAGTACAAATAAATGTCTGATGAAAATAACAACTTACACTTGGTGCATCCTTTGCTAACTTCGCTAATAATGTAACACAGGGGTCGGCAACCCTAGGCACGCGTGCCACAACTGGCACGCGGAGGAATTTCGGGTGGCACGCTGACGATGATCACAATAGAGACCTGCACTCCCGCGGGAGAACCGCGGGACCCGCGGGACCCAACGCACCGAGTGCGGCGCGGGACAAGATTTGATGGGTGATTGCGGGTGCGGGCGGTAAGGTCCTCATGTATGTGCGGGTTGCTGGAGAATAGAATTAATCGCGGGACTCCCGCAAAATGGAATTATCTTAAAATTAATTTATTAAAAACAAGTACTCTATTATTTATCTACTGCACAAAAGCAACACGAACGACTACATTAAAGGCTAACGCTCTGAAGCAGTATTAGGCCAAATGCTTTTCTGTTTGACCACTTGAGAAATCAACGTTTATTATTATTTTGTTTCATTGCAATATTATTAGCCTATTTCTAACTGTTCTGAGTGTATTTCTATGTTCTGAAAAGCTCCTCGTTCGTGTCCATGTTCATCATTCCATTTAATTAAACTCAAATAAAACGAAACATATTTGTTTATTTTCCGTTTCTTTTTTATATACACTTGAAAAAGGAAGCAAGTGAAACAAATAACAGAGTAGCGGGAAGAAGTGGTAAAAATAAAACTACTTATATGTTTACCTGCGGGATTTTGCGGGCGGGAGAGGGACAAAACTTGAATACTGCGGGCGGGAGCTGGAGAAAATAATATATTTTTTTTTGCGGTAGCGGGACCGAAACTTGCGGGAGCAGGCAGGAGCAGGACTGAAAAATTCGTCCCGCGCAGGTCTCTAGATCACAACCCTAATTATTAAACACATTAAAAATTTTCAGACGTCTTCTATGATGTTGAAATGTCATTGGCTGTTGCTTGGCACGCCTGCTGCTTTGGTTTGACTACTAGATAGAAATCCAATTCATGAATGGAATAAAGCACAATTCATACATTCTGAATTTTGCACAACCCTGGCACATAACAAGCTAATCAATCACTGCATGAAGACATGAACCCCTTGGACCATCTCAGTAATAAACAATTAATAGATATTTAGGCTGGCCTGGAGTGAAATAATGAGCCATTTGAAACCCATCTGCACCCATCTAAAAGGTCTCTTGGCGCTAGGGTCCATATGATATGCAACCATCAAGGACATTTTACAGACATTGTTGCCAAGTGGCCTGGGAGTTACACACGACGCTTATATCTGGTCCAGCTTTGGAGTGTCAGGTTGCGAAGGATGGCAAGTTTGCTGGTGGCTGGTTATTGGGAGACAGCAGGCATCCTCTTAGCTACAGTAATACTTGCTGATCTGATTCCAGTGCTGAATCCCCAAACCATGGCTGGGGGTATAACACTGCACACCAAAGAACACACACTGTTATACAGTGTGCTATGGGCATGTGGAAAACCTGATTCTGGTGCCTGGACAAGTCCTTGGGGGGGGGGTCTGAAATTTTCCCCTTAATCCTGCTCTGCTTTTATTCTTGCATGATATGCTGCTCAACATTGCAGTAATTATTTTATTAACATTTATTTTTGAACACCTCATTATTAAGATGTTTTACCTCTTCATTTGAGAAGTGTTGCTTTCTTTTCCTATTGCTGCTCATCCCTGTTCCTTTTTGCAGGAAACCCACATCAGTTTTCAGCCCAATTGTATACTTTTGTCAAATAGGTAAATTTCTTTTGGTCTTAATTTTGTGCATTTTGATTTATTATTATTACATTTGCATGTCTGATATAACATCTATATAACATATATCTGACAAGTGAAATACAGTAATGTTCCCATTACCGACAGCCTGTGCTTTTCTTGATGGTGTGACTGGGGAGAAGCCAAAGTACGACACTTTAAGATCGTTTGTTAAATTTCGGATGACTAACGGTTTTGGGAAACACTCACTCATTATTTACCTACATCTTTTATCCTGTTCGTTATTCACTAAGATCATTCGTTATCGGAAACCACGGCCCTGTTTAGGTGTGGACAGAGCTTCCCTGGCTAAGGAGAGACCAGCACCACACCTTTATCAACACAGCAGAGGCAGATAAACAAGAGCTATCTAGCTTAGCAGACAACAGTGCAGGAAGAGAAAAAACTGGTTGACTAGTGAATCTCTAGCCTTTTCCTGGGGGCCTTACTTGGGTTTTATAGCTTTTAGAATAATGTTTGCATGTTATGTTTATAGGAAAATGTAAGTGAAATATGACCCAGAGAACAAAACTGTCTGTTTAACTTTGACATGAAACTACCCAATGTCATATGCATAATTCAAGTTATATTCACAAAATTTCAAAACTGTTTTTAAATTATTTTATTCATTTTTTTTTTTTACAAAAGTAATGGTGGAGATCCTGATCTGCAAACACAGCTTCACTGGCTCCCGTCACGGTTCTGCAACAGAGCCACCCCAAGCCTTCCAACCATCAGGAGACTGCATAAGGAAAAGGGCATCACAACATTAGCTACAGGAACTTTACACAGCTATACTACATAACATCAGCACACTGCAAAATACTGTCTTCAGATACTCTTTGTGAACTTGTATTTTACCACGGTGTAACCATGTTTGGAAGCCAGTCTGTCACTCAGTGGGTTTGGACTCTGATAAGGTTGTTGGTTAAAATCCCAAGGCCAGAAAACCCCCAGTTACTCTTAGGGTGCTGCATACTGGCTGACCCTGACCTATGATCCCCCAAGCTGGCGCTGACCTGTACATACATCTGTGCGTTTCACATAAATCAAGACGGGATAGGTGAAATCTACATTTACTTGTAAATTACTCTAGAAGGTGTATCACATTTTTAGAGGATACTGTTGACTACATGAATTTGGGCAAAGTGTCACTGTAGTTGCAGCGGTACAGCACGCATCAGTACGGCTCTTCGTGAACATAGCGGAGAAGACAGAGCAAGCTCACGACGTGCTGCCAGTACAGATGATTGTTACCTCACTCCTGCTATGAGTCCAGCAGGCATGAACTTCCTGGACTTTAGAAAACGCGTTCCCATGATTCCAGACAGGGTTCCTGAGGTGGCTGTTAAAGAAAGAAGTTGGAGGTGATTATGCTAATTATTCACGACAATAACAAGCAATTAATAGAACTTCCCTGAAAGTGAGGCTTCCCAAGCACAAGTCCACCCACCTAGGGACAGCCAGATATTGCCTGGGTCACAAGACATCTGGTAGGCACCAACGCCAGCCAAGCTGCCAAAGAGAAGACCTGCAGCCAGGGAGGGCACGCTACCTGGGGGGGGGCAACATCGCATTGAAGAACCACAGAGACACCGAGCGATTACTGCAGCCCCAAGCTAGAAGAGCTTTCCTCATTTTTCCTAATCTCCAAAGCGGGATGCACCCAGCCAAACAGCACAAATATGTTAAAAAAAAAAATTATGTGACGTACCTGCTTTGACATAACCAAATACTCCCCCAGAAGCAACAAGGGCAGCGTAACCATACCCAGCCCAGTCTGTGGACATCTTGAAGATCTAAAAAGAGATACACTCTGCGTGTTTAATTGTACAGGTCTACAGAACAAAGTGAATGTTAGTTAACTAGTATCCAAGTAAAATCACTTAAGTATAAGACGCTGACCGTACACAGACATTATCGTTAAAGATTCCATTTATAGGATCGGCTGTCGGGGAGGATGGTAATAAAGCACGGAGGCACGTTAACATACGCTATGAAAATCGCGCCGAAAACATTTTTCTAACAAAAATTAGAAATCAAAATTAAAAAATGCTTATGATTGATTGAATTACTGGTTAAGTAATTCGTTGACAAAAAGATTCCATCTCACCGATTTCCGTCGCTCCTCAGTGAAACGGTCAGACGGTCAGTTTAAAAGATCACGGAGTGACACAGTATGACCCACATGTGTTTCCCCTAGATTAACGCACAACAAATGCTGATTCATGTGTACAAGGAGGTCTGACTCCTGCTACATTACGGTGGGTGGAAACAACTTAACTTCTAACATCACCCAGGGTTATTGAAAAAAATACCGGATTTGTTTTGGTCGTCCAACCAACGAGAGGACTGCTGAACACGTGACACGCTGCGACTCAGTTTCCACGGACGCTGAGGCGTAAACGGGACCACATTTTGAAGTTAGAAGTTACTTTTAAATGCCGTCAGGCTAACAAAAGGTGATTCACTCTCTTTGGGTGATTTGACTGGCCAAAGTCCAGATATCAGTCTTGAAACTGGCAACAAACTCTAAATTTCCATCAGAGTTAATAAACATGCATTTAGCCAATGGCGTATAAAGCTTTGTGGATTTTAATGGATATTTCTAGACTCACCTTTGAACATAAAATTTATCCTGTTAACATTCGCATGCAGCATAATATTCCAAATAGGTGACACAAGAGTGTAAATTTACTAAAAGTGGATGTAGCACATATAGATAGATAGATAGATAGATAGATAGATAGTTAGATAGATAGATAGATAGATAGATAGATAGATAGATAGATAGATAGATAGATGATATACGTATTATTCAAACGAGAATGAATTTTTTAAAAGGCCATAAATACACTTCTCTTTCGAATAATAATGCCGGGCTGCCACTAGATGGCACCAGACGACCAAGTATGAGTTCTCTGCGCTTCACAGAGAATGAATGTAAAACGAGTCGGACAACATATATTTCGTGCATTAGTACAGTATATCTGTAGACACCTGTTGGATTTTTCGCTCGCGTTCCTATTTGAAACGCCCTAGGGTTCCGGTATTTTCTTAAAGTGAATTTGAACAGCTGCAGCACGCTAGCCCAGTAGTTAGTACTGTTGCCTCAGACGTCTGGGATCAGGGTTCGAGTCTCCACCCTGGCCCAATTTGCATGTATTATCGTGGCCTTTCCTCCGGGTATTCTGATTTCCTATAGCCTCTGGGCTCCCGCGATCCTGAATAGGATAAGTGGTTACCGAAAGTGCATGAAATGTGAGCAATAAATCTCACTAGAGGAGCGGTATCTTGGTATCCGGTGTGTATACCCCAGACTAAGTGAAAATAAGATGAAAGTGTTTGGATTACCGTCCGTGCTAACAGTCATAACTTTTTCATTGCCTGCACCGTTCCTGTGCGCAATATCTGAGCTTCCTTTTCGTGTCTTTACATGTTTTGTTCCATATTACATATACTCTGCTTAGCCAAGTGCCGCTCATATTCCAGATTTTACTAGTGATATCTCCAAAATTCAAAATACTAACTCTAAAAGATTACCACAGCAACAGTGCAGTTTCTATTAGTTACAAGAATGGAATAGGCCTATGACTGCTATCGCCCCCTCTCTTTCTCTCTCAGTCTCTAACACACACACACACACACACACACACGTTTGAATTCATATGTCTGTGGGCACCGTCCCTTCATTTATATGGGCAAATCCTTAATCTCAACAATAACAACCTTAAGCCCTACCGAGCCCTATCCTTAACCATAAGTAACAAAACAAAATGCAGGACGTTTGGCATTTATTTAGTATTTTTTATTGCAGTCACAGATTATATAAACACGAGTTTTCCCCTACAACATCAAAATAGCAGGTTTTTATTACATTTTGGGGACATATACAGTCGCTCCCCCCCACACACATACTCTAATCTTTTCTAGGTACAAGTATGCAAGCTTTAACATGCACAAAATTACTTCGCCAGGAGTATTAATTTAACTTCAATGTATCTATCGCATCACTGTAATATTACAGACCAGTGCATGTACTTCATGCATTTATGTATTTCTGTTCCTAGTGTTCGATGCGCAACTGGACAAAAATGTCCCTTACATGTCGAGTGACTTTGTTTTATGAAACTACGGTCACGTTCACATTCTGTTAATGCTATATGTTATGCCATTTAATGTCCTGTAACAACGACAACGCACTCACACAAAGAGCAATGCATTTTTAAATGATCTTACTGTAAGTTATCCTGTAATTTAGACTATAACGAACTTCAGGCGACTGACATGCTAATAACACAGTATACTCCATAAAATACTAAACGCATTTTTTTCTTGTGTCTGTGCTACTGATAAGTAAGCCTACATTTAACGGAACATTTGTCTTGTTGCACGTCCACTTATAAACAGACTCAAGATTTCAGTGCATTTTTAGTTAATGTGCTCTAATTGTGAATCATTGCATAGTGTTCTCTTCGTGTATGTAGTACTGTAATATACCTTCACGGACGAAAAAATAAAACATAACGCGATGCATTTAATGAACCGACTTGCATATTTGTTTTTATCCGATAATAAGAGGGATCACCGTGGCCCCACACCTCTCGGTTTTGAGATTCCAACGTCTTATGTCCAATACTTCCTAAGATATTGTACAGCCCCCGTGACCCTGTCCTGGATACGCGGTTGGTTGACAGATGGATGATGATAAGATGTTTGTCGGGCTTTGCGTAAAGTTCTGTATATTACATTGCGGTTATACTCTAGCTGAACAGAATTCCACATTCTGTTTTTTAAGCGGTACTGTTATAGTCACAGATTACACCTTGAAAACAGTGAAAATTATCATTATGAAATCAAGATGCCAGATTATTTTATTTTAAATAAGAGAGCGTATGAATTCCTGTTTTGGCTATAAAATACTAAAGACAGTAAATATTTTAAACATATCTAGAATATCTGTAGAGACGCAAAACAGTTAAAACACATTAACTGAATTTTTACACAAAATGTTAATCAAATATGTATTAAATATATAGCGCAGTAATTATGTACATTTAGAGACAGCGATCAGAGATGTGTTCTTTATAGATTATACTAAGCACGCGACTTCGCACAGCCTCGCTCCCCGTTTGGGACCGTGGAGTAACGAACTCTGAAGTAATATAGTAGCCTATATAGTATTTTTTATTACCTGTGCGCGCCAAGCCAAGCGATTATGTATGTTTTCAAAGTTTTCCCCAACCACAAGAGTTCATTTTAGTATTGTACTACTGCTGAATACATATTCTAAAATAATTTCATCATACATTTTTGGAGGAATATTTCAGTATACTTAAAGCAGATTTTCGTCATATACATGACGTTACCATGTTCAGTGAAATGTCTGTTTTAAACTAGGCCTAAATAATCGCAATTAACTTCAACTCAAATCCGACGTATTACTAACAGGCGCAACAGTCGCCGTTTTGTTTTGCACAGTAAAATCACAAAGATAAAGAAAGACCATCGGATATATGTAGGCTATACTTCACGTATATGTACAAGTATAATACTCGACTTAAAATAGATATTATGCACGGCTGTAGCCGAATCCGGTACTGAACAATTTGTAATTCAAGTTCCGTAATCGTGGTTATCCAGATACAATGCAGATAAAAGAGTTATTACAATCATACGAATTACTTATGATTTTAATCTTAATAATGTCACTACACTCAAGCAGCAAAACTTTTTTTTAAAAAGTACCCTTCACGGAGTATTATAAAAACAAAAACACATACACATGATGCAAATAAGCAATACATAAAGCTGTTACAATTTACATTACGTACTTCTCAAACTAGCGCCATTTATTTATGCTTTTGTTAGCTTGCTTGTTAGTTTATTGGCCTGTTGCCGGCAATTAAAAAAAACATTATGAATGTTTTTTACAGCGTCAAAATCAAGACAGTTCAACGACTTAAATGGCGCGTTTATTAATTTCAGTATCTTCGCAGTTTCCAGTCTCGTGTAGTGCGCATGCGCCACCAGGTGGCATACTGTTTTTAGGACCAGGTGTGATTATCCTTTTCAGGTAAAGCAGAAATTGGCTTTGAGATCAGTGGTTCAATGAGATAAGGCGGAGAGTGTTCCGCCATACAGAGAAAGAAGACAGGATAATGTCAATAATGGCCAAAATGGGGGATTGGCAGGTAGGCCCAAATGCAGTTTAATTTATGACATATTTAATTGCCATTATTGTATGGTATTGTAAAGGCCCAGTTTTAACTACAATTTCTTCGGCAGTTTAACTAATCTAAAACATTTCGAAATGTTGTCAATTTTTAAAATGCATTTTACCCCCGGAAGTGATGTAGGCCAGGTCTGATTAGATGCCTAAAAAGTATTCTTTAGGCTATTAGGCAAGGAATGAATCAATTGCGAAATTAATATAGTATCCAAATTTACACGTTCATAGCGATTGTAACGGCGAAGGAATGCAAGTCCTGTTTTGTTGTATGTGAAAATCATTAAATTAACATAAAAATAAATAGGACATCATTTATATAATCTGTATTAGGTACAGTTTTGTTTATCATTTTTCGCAGATAGAACCATTGCATTTGAACCATCGTATTTAAAATGAAAGGCAAAAATACAAAATTATAGACTTTTGGTATCCACAGATTAAAGCAACAGAGTACGCCAAATGTTAAAAAACAACGGGAAAATAACGAATACTATATGTTGTATTTTGACGAGTTAAATTATTTGAGGAAAAAAACATTCTTGGGTAAGTTTTGAAAACAACTGAAAAGTTAGGATTCGGTTCTAAATGTCTTACATAGGCCAATTCATGCAAGGAATGTATAACCCAACGCTGATTTGTTCAGCATATTTTTTAGGTTTCAGTCTTAAAAAAGTCACAGATCTAGATGTTGTAACTTTTTCAGCGCAGATAATTCCCACTTTTTTTCCTGAGACTCTCTCATTAATGACAACAGAATTTGAAGTCACCCCGCCAAAAATGGTAATATCGATGGGAGTTGGCGGCCTGTTTCGGTCGGCATGTCTGCTCTCTGTCGCCGTCGAATTGTGCTGAACCGCAGCAATGCCGCTTGTCATTCAAATTGAACGAGTATGTTGTTGTGTTAATTAACATTTCTGAAATGTAACATACATGTTGTCAATCGACCTAATATAAGCATGAGAACCATTCGATTTTGCATGACAATAGTAAGATTGGTTCTCAACAGGACTAAAACAACAGTTCAGTTTCAAGTCAACGGCAAGTACGGGGATAAATAACAAAGAAATATAATTCAAAAAGTCAATACATGTATTGAGGTTATTGTTTTATTTGGAAAAATACATTCCTTTTTTTAAATTACTTTTTAATCAATTCAATGTGTGCTTTTACTGTACAGGTATACATATGTCGCGTTCGTCAGTAAAATCTGCGATCTACTTAAATATTTCATTAAGTTTATTTATGTGTGTGTTTGTGTGCGCGGGTGTAATGCATTAATTCATTCATTCATTTTTTTGCGTTCCTATTTGAGTCTTGGGACTGTTGCGTTTTAAAATTCATTCCGGACTTCATTACGTCCGTATGTAAGATGGTATAGACCAAACATGCTTCTGCGATCGGACGCATAATCCAGAGAAATCCCCGCTCTTCTAACCTGTGCATATTGGTGTTGGAAAGATGGAAATCAAACAGCTCTTGATATGCTAATGAAGGACCGAGTGTGTTAATACACGACTGAGCGGGAGCTTTCACTTCCACCATTAGAGGGAGATCTGAGAGCGCGGACAGCCAACCCAACAAAATAGTTTCAGCTAAGGCAGAATTTACTACATAAAAGAGGAACAATACTCACAACAGCCCATGAAAATGCTTTGGAAATTAACAGATAATATTAAATACGAAGATTGTGAGGTAAGAAACAGTTTTTTTCTACTAAATAATAAAAATAAACCTTCAAATTGTCTTATTTTTATCCTTCCATTTAAATGTCCGCAGTGGAAAAGCCTGTATTGTACAAGCAGATATAAAAACAATATTTTAATGATTAATATATAACAAGATTAAAAGTATTAGCAATATCAGGTAAAAGTAACAAGTTTCCTCGAGTCATTTGTTTCTTTAAAAGCAAAATGAACAAACTGTAGACCAAATACATGTAAACGTAAAGTACTGAAATATCTTATTGGTTTTTCAAAAAAATCTAAAATAAATTATTTGCATTACGTGTATCGCTTAATTTTTCCTTCTAACAATAATAATATCTATTATCATTAAAGGATATATACTTATTATTACTCTAAAATTTGCGACGAACGACAGATGCGACGAATGACAGAAAGGACTTGAAACTGTGCACTGATCAAATTTGCTTTAAAACAAACAAAAATCTGTGTAATTGTTTCACCGTAATTAGCAGGCATATTGCGTGTTAGTTCGATCTATTCTTGTTCTTGTAATACTGCACCATAAAGATACTTAAGGTTTAGAGTTATATTTGGGAGTTGCAGCAGGAGCTGTACAGCCAGTTAAACGGGTTTGAGTTCGCGTTTGCAGTTAGACACGCCCGTAAAACCGAAAAGATAGTAATAGCAATAATAATAATAACATGCATATATATTTATATTGGATTCTTTCCGTATACTTGATTTCAGACCATTTGCATATTCTTCATAATAATGCATATTTTAAGGTTATTCATATATACACTTTCATGTAGAAATAAGTACTTTTCACGGTTGGCTTAAAAGCATTTTGAAGCATTACGAATGATCGCGAGAGTAGACTGGATATGCATACACTGTCTGTCCATTTGTATGACAAACTTCTGAATAGGTCCGAGCTAAATCATTCTCCATCCTTCAAATTTGGATATACGAGGTTAAATTTGTTGGAAAGAACGACAGAACCTGAAAAGGACTGAGTTCATAGACAATCGGTGTCTATAAACGATAAAATATGTCAATCGAGGTACCGGGAAAATTTATTGGGTTTCCGAACAAAATCTAGATGTTCGTTGGTTCTTTCACTGCTCTTGCCCTTGTTCTCCCCTCATTTTACCTTTCTTTCACTTTTGCATGGCCTCAAACCTTTTAAAATGTTCCCCCTTCTCTCTGATTCGCCAGACGCTGGAGAATGTTCCTTTTTGTCTCCCTCTCTCCCTCACTCCCTCACTCCCTTTTCCTCTCCATCTCTGATTAGATACACTGATTCTTCATTCAATGGACGTCATTTAGTACAGTCTCTGCCTTGAGTTGCTTCCTCGCTTCACGCTCGATTTCCAACTATTCTTCTCTTATTAAGTATTCGTGTAATATTAATAGTCATGAATATATTGTATTAGGAAACTAAGCGGAGAAGCAGACCGCTGCTAATATGAGCTCAAGCGAGGCAACAGCTCAGTGACAGAACCAGAAGAAGAAGGATATAAGAAAGTTCGTATAATAATCCGCAAGACAAAATACTGAATTTTAAAAATCAAATGAAGGGCAAAAGGAATTTAACCAAATTCTGATGGATTACCGCGCCCCGACAGTGCACGTTTTAACGCTGACGTTCTGATTTTGCAGTAGCGGCGTTTTGGGTTATTTTGTTTGGTCTTATTTATTTTCGTTGTTTTATCAGCGTTTTTGTAAAAGCTTTCTGCTTGAAATAACCGAACAGCTTCGCAGATGTTAGTGCACAGTTTTTCCGCAATGGTGAGTTTCACTAAATGAGTTCAACATTGCAACATTGCATTTCGAAAGGTTACCTTCGTTTTAAAAAATATTATTATTATTATTATTATTATTACTATTATTAACATCACCTCGCATTGTTAACAAATTTGAAGAATGAACGATTTAATATAAAATATTTTAAATAAAGATAGAGGAAAAAGCATTTAATCTGCAGATGTTTTGTGATCATAGTTGCATGGGGTTGCATGTTTCGTATTTGTTCATTTAGAATTTGGAAACAAAATATTTATAATAATGTCACTATAGCAGGAATTAAATTTGTTTTTAAACACGTCATCTCTTATCGTCTACATGTAGCTTAGTGTTGCTATTATACCTTAACTTTATAACAGAAAATGAACATTACTTAATTAAACGTTAATTAAACATAAATGTGTGCTAATGTATACCTTCCAAAGAAACAGCCAGTGAGAAAGTGCTGTGCTTGCCGTGATCGTACTTTACGTGCTGGTTTAATGAGTGTTTATTAAAGAATTTAAGGAAAGGTGGCTCTCGTTTGGGAGGGGGATTTATTGACTGAGTTTTTTTTTGTAGGATCGTCACGACGGCACCAGCAATGGGACAGCCAGGTTACCTCAGCTGGGGAGCGTGGGTCAGTCTCCGTATGCAAGCGCCCCACCGCTCTCCCACACTCCGAACTCCGACTTCCAGCCTCCCTACTTTCCTCCACCTTACCAGCCCATCTATCCCCAGTCTCAGGACCCTTACTCGCACGTCAACGACCCCTACTCCTTGAACCCTCTTCACGCTCAGCCGCAGCCGCAGCACCCGGGCTGGCCGGGACAAAGGCAGAGCCAGGAGAGCAGTTTGCTGCATCAGCATCGCAGCTTACCCCATCAGCTGTGTAGGGACTACCGGAGAGAAGTGCTACTGCCGTCGGGTCACGGAATTGACTCTGGACTCACAGATTCTATCCCTATCCATGGAATACCTCATTCTTTAGATGATGTACAGGTAACAAGTATATATTTTATTTAGCCTACATGTAACCGTAATCTTCTTCTTATTATTATTATTATTATTGAACTAATTTGGTAAACGAACAGTTAGCAAAAAGCACCAGTTATTTACACCAGTTTGCTCGCAACCATGTGCATAACAAGCAGTTCTAAGGAGGTAGAATTTCAAAGGTTGTTTTATTGGTACTTCGATTTTGTCTGTATTGTTAGTGACAATATTGTTATTATTGATAATAATACTAGTAATAATTATTGTTGTTATTATTATTATATTAGTAATTCAAAATAATAACAGATAGTTAACTGCTGTAAATTCTCAATGATGTACATTTAAAAATATATAAACGTACTAAAGATACACAGAGAGCGAGTGGGAAAAACCAAGCCATTAAAATCAGGCCTGTGATGTTAGACTATGTCCAGTTTGTGATTATTTCATGGATGGCATGTTCAGGCTCCCCTGTCATTTTCAGACGTAATTTTTAAATGCCACCCCCATCACTTTAATTGTGTTTCGCTGAATGGAGCGTCGGGCGAACTCAAATGTGAGCGCAGAGGCTTCGGCAGTAATGAAGCCGGAGAGTGCGATCCGCCAGGAATCAGCGAACAATTAGCGGAAGCATAAATTAAATGCAGAGCTGGATTTACATTTATCTCTTATTGCGCTGGGAAAATAGAAAATAATTGTTCCCCCAGCAACTTAAAAGTGGTGAATGTTAAATACGATTGGTAAAATGTAAACATGATAAGTTGTATCTAGTTATATCGGATCGTGTAATGCATTGTTGTATATAGTACAGTAATTAGCAGCTTAAGCGTGGACATAGGCCTTAGACTTGAAAGGGAAGTCAAGGAGCGATTCTGAATTATTATTAATTGAAATCTCAGGGAGAAAAACGGAAATTCTTTGTCCTTGTAAAACAACTTATTTACACCAGACACTACAACTAAATTACTTAGCTTACATACTGAGAAGATATAAATGTTTTGTATTTTACTGCAGCATGTCGAAGATCAAGGATTACACATCCCAGACCAGACTGTAATTAAGAAAGGTAAGCAGTTTCCTGGAAAGGCCAGGCGTGTCTCAGCGATCTGCAAGCAGTTCAGAAAGCTGGCGTAGCACGCGACAACCCGTTGTTAATCCGGAGAAAACATGGTTTAGTGTGGCTGCAAGAGGCTGATATATTCAAAAGTTAACGTTCACTTTAAACCTCAAAGTACATCAAAGTATATCTGTCGGTGTCCCGTATTTATCTCTTTACACATGAAAGAACTCAGAGACGACCTGGGACTGTAACTCGTTCTGTCTTGGACAATTGCAACGGGAAAAAATATTTACAATAATTTAGAACTGATTATTAGAATCTAATTATTAGAATCAGCACAACTGTCATGTATCCACATGAAGTTACTACTATTATTCTGAAGCCTATTATTATTATTATTATTATTATTATTATTATTATTATTATTATTATTATTAGGCCTTTTGTTATCGGGGTTGTTGTTGTAATGGTTGTCAGTGCATCGTATCACCTCTATCTTCAATATTTTACCCACATTTTCGGTTACAGCTTGGGAGTATTCTGTGCGTATTAAATGGTATAAAAATTATATAACGGTCGTTTCATTTTCTTTTAATTTGGAATGATTCTTAACATCACGCTGTATCAAACAATATTTCTGCCGAACCTTTTATATGGTCAGATGAGAGATGATAAATCTTCAGAAATACAATTTCCAGATCAACGTGATAATTGGCTTTTATATTAGTAATCTCAAGAGTTCGTTTAACTCCTATTGTCTCTGCCCCCTCCCCTGAGCCATTAATGTCACGAGTGATCTATCCCGAAGTGTTAGTCTCTTTGTCTTTGGATACGCAGACGGAACCCTCACGTAGAGGAGCATAATGCGTATAAAGATCCCGTTTTGACCTACACCTGCGCGCTTTAAACAAAGTGGTTTTGTTTATTTTACGTATAAGCGCGGATTTATGGAGTGAACGTTGGTTCGGTGTGAACTTTCTGCATGGCTGGGGCCTGGGGTTGATATGCTGGATTTATGAATCGGATTAATAAGTCTGCACATTTCTATGCACATTTGAACAAAAATCATAATATACATAAATTATGCACTTTACACATTATGTATTGGATTCTTGCTTAATTTACACTTGTTTTTATTAATATAGCATTTTTATATAGGAAAGTAGCATACCACTGTGACAGAGAGCAATGCTTTGCAGATATATTATCATAAAATGTATGATATTTTATAGACATATATTTTATAAATGTGTAGCATATATAGTATATATAGACTGTACTATTTAAAATAATATAGTCCCACTAAGTACGTCCAACTTCGTTTAAATCGAAAAATACTACTGTGATGTGTATTTTCCTTTTTGTAGAATGAGTGTCATATTAATATGACCTATCATATAAAACAATTAAATCACCCTTTGAGTGAGGGGGCACACGTGGTACACACTTCGTGTGCCTTTAGCTTGTATTTACATTGCGCAAATGAAAGCGATTTCCAGTGTATGTGAAGTACTCTTTTGTTTTAGGTCCTGTTTCTTTATCCAAGAACAACAGCAATGCCGTGTCTTCGATACCTATAAATAAGGACGGTCTTTTCGGCGGAGTGGTGAATCCGAACGAAGTATTCTGTTCTGTTCCGGGTCGCCTGTCGCTTCTCAGCTCAACATCGAAATACAAAGTCACGGTGGCAGAAGTGCAGAGACGCCTGTCTCCGCCGGAGTGCCTGAACGCCTCTTTGCTGGGTGGTGTGCTCAGGAGGTGAGGAAGACCTTGCTGTTTTAATGTTATTATTCATACTCTGCATATTCCAGCTAACTGTATAGTATACTATAGCCACACATGTCCCATTCTATGTCGGTTTGAAATCAGCTTGTATCCCTCACGGCCATCGATTCTATTAAGAGCCGCGCCACTCGTGACGACACGGCCCGTTTTCCAGAGGCGACGGTTGCTTCTCAGGCTAATACAATTGGGGTAGAAATACTAAATATATTCAAAGTCATTTAAAAATATGGTCACCAATACTTAGAATCATTCAAATTATTGTAAATAATCACTGAAATGAATGAATAATACATAAATAAATCAGGTTATAATATCTGTGTTACAAGGTTTTGAAAAAATAGCCCTCTTCATATATGCGCAATGCTTTAAATTTTATTTATGTTCTCCTTTTAAATCATTCAGGTATGACAATATTTAGCAGTAGTTTATCAGATTCAGCAATGAACTTTACATTTGACGTTAAGTGTAAAATTCTGTCTGTATCCGGAGTGACCTAACCTTTAACCACATATGTATTGCGTGTTGTTTTCAGATGAAAGGCCCAGTCGTAAACATTCGTTTAGTTATAATAAAGATAAAGAAATATATAATCAAAACCATGTTATAAATGTTGAATTTCATTTGATTTGCAAATAGGGAGAAGTAAAAAAAATGATTTATTTTTTCATTTGGAAGTTCAGGCGCTTGCTGTCATTCATGTGCTTGCTGTCACAAACATTTCATGTATCTAACATAGACATATTTCCATGTAATGTACAATTCAAAATCTTATCATTCTTATTATTTTTTTTCGCAGAGCCAAATCCAAAAACGGCGGAAGGTCTTTACGAGAAAAGTTGGATAAGATTGGATTAAACCTACCAGCAGGCAGACGCAAGGCGGCAAATGTTACGTTGTTGACGTCACTAGTCGAGGGTGAGTACTGTCGTTAGTGCAGTCAGCTCAGCCCCTTGCGCCGGTTATTTGGCGCTGCCTGCAATACGATACGCTTCCCTTATGATGAGGATCTAATGTGAAGTGACGTACGTGCAGGTCAGGACTGGACTGGGATTAAAAATCGACCCCTGGAATTTGGGGTCCCCACGATAAATTTGACAATTTTGCCGACCTTCCGGGGGTGGGGGTGTTAAACAATCATTTTTACCGGCCCACATACCCACCGGTCCGACGATAAAATGCCCGGAATGCCAGACTGCCAGTCCAGGCCTGGGTGCGCTAAGGAGCACGTACCTTTCCTTACGTCGTAAACTTGCTGCATTTAATCGGAGTGAAAGTGCACGTTGACATCAGAGAAATACCAAACAATCTTAGATTATCTTAGGTAATACTACAAATATCTCTTTGCAGAGCATGTCTTTATTTTTAACTTGTGATATAATAATGATTACATGGTGATAATAAAGATAATGATTCTATTACTACTGAAACCACAACTACTTATTACTATCATCGTCATCATCATCATCATCATCAACAACAACAACAATAATAATAGTAATAATAATAATAATAATAATAATAATAATAATAATCTAGCTATACAGTTTCGTATTAAAGCATTATTTCCAAATATTCATTCTTTCCGTGACACTCATATGCACATGATTATGGATAATTTATTTTATGCTGAATTGATACATATTTCGTAGGTGCCATCTGAATATTGATGGGGGAAACCTGGTTCCTTGTGCATGTTATTTGTTACATTATAAGACCGAATACAATGTATCAGTGCTTCTTTTAAATGTAGCAAATTACATGCATAAACGCGAACAAATATATAATTTGCTTGAGATAAAGAAAATGGTGTCGAACAGAGGTCAGCAAATTATTTGTGAGGGGAAGTGCTGCTATTGTTTATGATTCGCTCCATTTTATGAGAACGGGTTTGCTGGACTCAAGCTTTGATGCCTTAATTGGCGCATGCGTTCTTCCGGAGTCGGGTCTTATGGCAGGAAACCTTGCAGTAAATACCAACTGTTTAGGGAAATTAAAATAAAAATCTAGAAAGATTAATAAAAAAAGTCAGACGTCAGTAGAATGACCATAAATTTTCAGAGTTCGAGTACGTAATGGCGATGTTCATAAAACAGAAACTTTAAAAGGCTTGACTACCTTACAATAAACAGTAGTCAGTCCAGCGCCACTGTTATGCATTATTTCGCTTAATTTAATTTTACTTTATAGTTCATAAACCTTGACAAGTGTGTATGGTATCGTGCTACCCGTTGTATAACTGTTATTAAAGGCTATTGCAGTCTAAGTTAACATTTTGCAATGCGGGCTTTCCTGAGTTAATTACATGGAAAATGTGTTAAGTGAAAGTGTTAATTGCTCAAGATTTGATGTCAGTCATTTAGAGCGATACATAATCAATTCCCCCTCTCCTTTTTAGGCGAAGCAGTGCATCTCGCCAGAGATTTTGGTTATGTGTGCGAGACTGAATTTCCAGCCAAAGCAATGGCTGAATATGTAAACCGTCAGCATTCTGACCCAAATGAACAAGTCCAAAGAAAAAACATGCTATTGGCAACAAAGTAAGTGCTACTATGTTGTTTAATGTTCAGTGTGCCCCGTAAACACCCCATCGATTGTTACATAATTCGCCCGAGGTAATTTTATTAGTGCCTTTATATTTTATTCTTGTTGCAAAGAACTGGAATAATTCTGCATGTTTTTGCAAAGCATATGATCTGTTTCTTCCTAATTTCAGACATTTATACAAGCATCACGTAAAACATGATAGTCGAGCTGTAATACGCATAACAGGTTAACATGAACATGGCGAAGTTGCTTCTCACTCGGTTGGTTAATATGAGCCGTACCCCCAACAAATGACAGGAGCTGTAACGTAATACAGCTATTCGTGCCAATATAGTGTTGCTTTTCATTCATGTCCAACTAAGCAGCTGATATTGCGTCATTTTATTTTCAGGTGACTAGAGCTGTTTATAATACCGTATTCAATAAAAGCCACGTTCAGGAACATTATTCAAGTAAAGGACAAGTCATAATGACGAGTACATTTTAAACAGAAATTTCCTGTTTAAATGCACGTGTGTTGTTAATGACATTAGTTTTATAACTGTGTTGTATTTCTTTTAGACAAATCTGCAAGGAATTCACAGACCTGCTTTCCCAGGACCGCTCGCCCTTGGGGAATTCCCGGCCGCAGCCTATTCTCGAGCCCGGGATTCAGAGCTGTTTGACACACTTCAGCCTCATTTCCCATGGATTCGGGACCCCGGCCTTGTGCGCCTCCCTTACGGCGTTACAGAACTACTTGACAGAAGCGATTAAGGCCATGGACAAAATGTACCTGAACAATAACCCCAACAGCCACTCAGACAGCGGCACTAAAAGTGGAGATAAGGACGAGAAGCACAGAAAGTGATTTCACCGCCAACATATACATAACATATATCTTCATCAAGAAGTTACGTGCCAATTTCTGATATTGTGATTTTTCTGTTTTACCACAAATCGACTACGGATTCACTAGAAGTGACAACTTTCCTACCAGAAAAGGAAGAGTGCGTGAAAAGCGCAGAAGACCGTTTCGGATTGAAGGCTCTGTGCCACATTGGGGGGCTTCCTCTGTATGCCTTCTTCTTATGAGCTATATCGGACTGATATTTAGCAACCCCCCCCCCATCTCGATTTACGGTCGTAGCCGTGTGAACAAAGAAAAAGATGATGAATATTATCAGTATTGTGAATAAAATGTCATGACTTAAGCTGTACACTAATTCCTGGCGACCAATTTGAACTCTGAATTCCAACACGATTCACTGTTATGTAAGGGAATCTGTGTTCTGCTATGGATATATTTATTTATGTGTAATTTAATGGGAATTGTAAATACGGTGCGTCTGTTGAAACTTTTTTTATTTATCTGGTGCCTCCTGTTTTAGTGGGTTAATTATTATATTAGTTTTTCATGTGGTTTTATGGTTATTAGAAAACAGAAGTTGGGGTGTTTTGGGGATACTTCCATTCACTACGCTTGTAGCATGCCGAGGCGACATTGAAGCAAATTTAATATTAATTAGTTTTCCTTGTCTCGATTGTTCATTCTTACTGCGTACAGTTTTTGCTGAATGACGCAAAGCAAGACCCAGACGACAATATGAACTGGATTTTTTTATTTTATATATGTATTTTTAATTATTCAGACCTCTGTGTTGTGCCAACTTGAACTCTTCACCTATCGTTCTTCCCTTGAAGCACCATAAAAGCAATAAATTGATATTGTCTTTCGATTTTTTTTTTATTTGAATCAGTTAAAAATCTGATCTGGGGCCATCTGATATCTACACGTCCAATGTACCCATCGGAGGTTTAAGGTGTCTTGTATAGACCTAAGCTGGCAATGGATCCCTTGCCTGTTAATGTATTATAGTCCTTTGTTGCCCAGAAAAATAAATATTTGATACGCTTCATGTCAAATTTTATTTACTTATAAACTGTTTCATTTTTTGTTGCTGCAGCGAGTATATCTTCTTGGCAGTTTATGTATGTATTTATTTATTTGGCTTACCTATTTGCTTGTTTGTTTATTTCTTTGGTGCAGTTACACCACTTGATTTCACAGTCACCTTGACGACTGTCCTGTACTCTAAACAGTTTGAACCGTTGCTTCACACAGTACAGTAAAACTTTAATTTCAATGCAGATCTTTCCGATATGTCACTGAACAAATGTTACCTGAACACTTTTATAGTAGTTGTTCGGATTCTAGAGAAAGGTATTAAACCCAAGTCTAAAGTACCAGTCCTAAAATAAAATAAAACACTAATCATCAAGCAGTGAACGTAGGCCTGCATTAAAGCTTTTGAAAGCGTCTCTTCATCGTGATATTGTCAGTTGGCCAAGAAAACAGAAGCACGTGTATGTTAGTTTGAGATTGGCTGCCTTGTGATGCATGCTTAAGCACTATCTCCGCGTCTTAACGCACATTTGCTTGGTTCATTTCCTGTTCTTTTTTTTGTGCGTGCTGGTTTATTATGGAAGGCTGCGTCATTAGGAAATCTGTTCAACTTAAGCAAAAATGTTAACATTAATAATTGGACAGTATTTTGTTTATCACCGTCCGGTGGAAAAAACAGCAGTTAGAGATAAATCAAGTACAGAAGCACGTGTCTTTGACTTAACTGTAAGTCACAGTTATGTAGCAGGTGAGCCGCGCCGTTGTCTGTCCGGGGTCTTTCTCTTGGCCGCCCCTCGGATTGTCTGGTCGAGCCTAAAGGGGCGCACAATAGCCCACTCATAAATAGGAATGCCGCCTGCATCTTGTAGGGAACCGTATTAAAACGACATTTACTTGTTTTTCAGTTTATTGCTGTTATTGAAGTGTCAGTGGAAATGTTATTTAATAAATATATTCAGTGTAAATGCTCCAGATTATTTTTACAGAACAATATACACTTTGAATATCACCATTTATCATAATATACATCTAAAAGATACATCATGCTCTTTAATAATTAATTATGGTGGTTACGTTTTAACGATCTCTTGCTGGAAGATCCTACGACTTTGCCTTCTTCTTAGCTGCTCTAACCTAAAATAATCTACCTAAGAAATTGTGCAGCATTGTCATTTTAGTTTAGCTCTAGAGGCACCGGCTGAACAGCTCCTGAAGTAATAATTAAAAACAAAACACCCGACATTTTAGACCGCTGTGATTTTCAATACCCAGGCTCCTTAACCTTCGTTTTAAGATAAATCAATTGCAGTTTTTTTTTCTCAGATCAGCGCCTTTTAATGCAAAAACCAATATCCAAAGCCATATAGTTTATTCTGTTGTGATACAGAATTTGCTCATTACTGCATTTTGCACATACCTGTCCTTACTTTCGTATATGCGTCAGTAGACGTGGCGCGCACACGCGCATCCCATCCGCGCAGGCGTATTCCAGCGTGTGGGTGAACTTCCTTTATGTCATCTTATAATTTTATGTTTAAACATTGTAGGCGTAAGTGTTAGCGTGTGCTTGATACAGTATAAAGTATTTTAACCAGAAAGGAGTGAAAAACGATTATATTTTTTTTGCATGATAAGACGTCTACTTTGGTAAACAGCAGTAATTAGTTAAAATATTAGCACGAGCTAACAGCCTGTAACTGCAGTATTTTTAAAATTGTTGTTTTTCTTTGAACATGCAGTATTTTTTCTATAAACGAACTTTCTCTCAAACTACGCCAACAGCCCCTGGCTTCACAAACTGAAGACATTTAAACTTGTAACAGACGACACGAAGTTTTCCTACACTATTATAACGTTAACTTGAAGTTAACTGGATAATTGCATGTGATATTTACAGACTGTGTTTATCTTAAAACCCGTAGAAAGCGTGTTGTTTCAAGCAATCAAATAGAAGAGCACATAGTTTAAACTACGGAAACAATACTAGATTCACACTATGAAAAGGACATTCATGAATTCGTTTTTATTTCATTAATTGCATATGTTATTGATCAATGCAAGCTTACTTATGATAGGCAACATTGGTGAAATTTTGTTTTATATCAAAATTAAGCCTCAGTGAGTATGAATGAATCTTTATGAGCCGCATAATATAAAATCATCTAAAACAAAGATGAAATAATGTAAAATTCGCACATCCATTCTGCTGTATAAATGTGGCGGCATCATGTGACGTGATTTCATACGTTTTCAATGAAGCGACAAAGTGACTAATTGTTCTGGGCTTTAACATGAACCCATTCGCGGTGTTTACCCCCTTCCCTAACTGCTGTGAGGGGGTAAAACAGAACCCCATCTGGTGGGAAAGGTCCATGACCTCATCAGCTATTATTTTTATGATTACCTGAGGCATCATTGCATCGATTACAAACATTAAGTAGCCTGCCAAAAAGAAGTCAACTGGATTTTCCGTAATTAAAGAGAGGGTACAGTCTTTCGAAGCGATGCAAAAATCTCACATATAAGGATTAATTCCTTTACTATTTTCCAGGCTGAAGCAATCTATTTCGGAGTACCGTTGCAATAAACAAAAAATAAATTGCATCATTATAAAGTAAAAATTACATAAATAAACAAACAAACAAATTCTAAAATGAATAGAGTCAAATTAAACACACGTAAGACCTTAACATACACAATGGTTGAAATAATTCTCGCCAGTTTCTACGTTAAAACTGTAGGTTGTCGCCTCCCTTTGGGGATAATTCTTTCAAAATAATTTCTTGGTTACTCTTGGGAGAGTCATAGTAGGGCTTCAGTATTTATTTCCTCTCAGGTTTTTTATTTGCTAACGGTCCAGTAACAATAGTAAAGAATGAAAGGAAGGTCTTTATTTAAGTCCTATTCCCTTATTTGTATTAAGCCTTCTGTCACAAACTTGGCAAGGTATTTATTAGTTACTCAGAGGACGTTTTCGTTCATTTTGTATTAAAATTGCAATCGGAGTTCCCAACGCTCTGACGAGTATCAGTTGATGTGTCACGTTACAGGGAATTCAGCTAAAAGGCCCCAAGAACCTGCATACTATCATAATTTCAATTACTCAGTGAGCATTAAAATGTATACAATAATTTTGTTTGTTTTTTTCAAGTGGTATACACTTATTTAAGCGCAAACATATCTAGTTTTTGAAATATAAAATTAATAATCACCTGGAGACTCTGGCCAGGTTAAGTGCTCAGAATATGGATGGAAAATTGATAACCATGCCTGAATGAAATGTTCTTTTCAGTTTATGGACAGTTTATTTACTCATGCTCCACTTACGTTTAACCAAAGACATCTAAAAATAATTTTGGTTCTTAAAATATTTTTATTTTTCAAATTTTATAAATGCAACCGAAGCAGTATGACACAGAGAATATGGAAAGACATGAAAATACTTATATGTATAGTTAGCGAGATATAGATAACGTTCCTCCTTGCCTTGGTATAGTTTATATTCTGGATTCAGTCTTTCTCTCCCTCCGCATTTTATGAAGCCAGCCGGGGGGGAGGGGGGGTGCCGCCTCAGGCCAAACATATGCTTCTTTCCATCGCACTAATCCAAATTCAGCGTGGAGGAATAATTGCTCGAGTGGTCATGGCTTCGACGGGCTTTGTCCCTCGCGCTGGCTCCCGTCAGACAGGCACACGCCATTTCAATCAGCTCAATTTGAGAGCTGTCTCTTTTTATCAAACCTTAGACCTCGCAAATGACGTGAGCATTTAACAAACGTCTCCACGCTAGACAAACAACGCCATTTAAAATTGTATTTATGTACATATTTTGTACAGAATAATAAAACACGAAATGAGGTTTGATTAGAGAGGTTTCCATTACTTCCTTCATTTGTAATCGGTTTCTCCGGAGTTAGGCGCTCAGTCAAAGACACACAAAGGGACGAATGGATACCTGTTATCCGTGTTCCTCCTACATTCCAATAAACGACTTTGTCCAACAAACACTTGCTTCTGTAAACCCCCACGTTTAAATCGTTGTAAGGGAGTCTGTTCAGCCACCTTTTGTGATTATCACGAGTTCAATCTTTTGGGGCTTGAAGAAAACTTTATCACAGATTTTTACGGCTACTTTTATTAGCAGGATAATTTAGTTATTGGCGCAACCCATGAAATTATGCCAAACATCGCATATTTAAAATGTAGGGTATTTTTTGGCCATCCACGAAAATTAAGTTCGATATTAAGAAAATAAACGGGTTTCTTAATATAGCCGTTGTATTAGAATAGCTTGCCTATACTTTACAAGTTATGTAACCCTAGAGAAATTCTCTCAGAAAATAATTTACGCGTAAGCCTTTAATCCGTACTCTTAAACTAAATATATATAACGCTACTCATTGTTTATGCTCGTCTTTCTCAGATCTGCCACTTTGTATTTCTGCTTCTCGTTACTGTCACGGGGTATTTCCCATGCCTTCTATACAAATATTTGTCAACCAATGTAAATATTACTCGTGACGTTCTTAGTGGGCAGTTCAGAGAGAAACAAAACATGGATTTTAATTATTAACGTTTCTTGACTTGATATACTAGATCATTGAACTGCAAGGGTGATATCACGATATATAAAACCTGTCGTACAATTTTCAGAAATTTGCATAATCATTGAAAATGCCGGATAGATTGTTTTTAGATGGAAACAATGTAACAACGCTTTCCTTTCACTTTATCTCTCATAAAAGGGAAATGAGCCAGATAAGACAAACATTTAGTATATTACATATGTTATACAATGGCATATGTTTTAACATAAGTTAAAACCTCATGGAGGAGAACAATGGAGCACAAACAACATGAAGCAATTTAGCAATTAAATTCCAGTGAGCAGCACCACGAAGGGTCCTTCTTCACCAACCTCCGGTGGCACGGCTTACACTTACAGCGCATATTAAACGTTGCTTTTTCTAAACGCACAATCTGGTATTTCAAGATATCGCGGTGTCGTAACTC